TACAACAATTATCAATCGACGATAGGTATGGCTCTTTATGAGGCATTGTATGGGAGGCCTTGTAGATCCCCGATTTGTTGGGTAGAACCGGAGGATAGCTTGCTACTTGGACTAGATTTGGTTAGACAAACTTTGAAGAAGATAGCATTGATTCGGGAGCATATTCTTGTAGCCCAGAGTCCACAAAAGAGTTACACAGATCAAAGACGATGAACATTAGAGTTCCAAGTTGGGGACTATGTTTTGCTAAAAGTATTACCGATGAAGGGTGTCCAGCGATTTGGCAGACGGGAAAAGCTTGCCCCGAGATATATTGCTTCGTTCTAGATTGTGGAACGTGTTGGAGCTATTTTGTATAGACTCGATCTTCCAGCATCAATGTCGGGAGTCCACGATGTCTTTCATGTTCTATGCTCAAGAAGCATTTACGCGATGAGGAGCTCCAGAGGGTGTTTGACGCACCAGATTTAGAGCTTTAGGCAGATTTGACCACCATTGAGATCTCAGTTCGTATTCTTGCCAGAGAGGATAAGAGACTCAGAAATAAAGTGATTTTGTTAGTCAAAGTGCAGTGGAACCGGAAAGGAGCTGAGGAAGCTTCTTGGGAATGCGAGGAGGATATGCGTCACGACTACCCGTACCTGTTTGAGCAGGTATATTCTGAGTTATATTATTGTTGTGTTCATGATTATCAGTATAGCCGCATTTATAGTTAATGCTGGAATGTGGGTATTAACACTTAACTTCTAATCATTCGGAACACATGTTATATACATGGGGGTTCCTTCTTTGGATTTTTCACCTGACGTACTAGGTCCGCTTAATTAGGGGTTAAGTGAGAGTATTCACATTCTAGATTGTTAAGTGTAAATATCGCTTGTGATTCATAAATGGAGATTAATGGTACAACATGTGTATATGAGGGTTTCCTTGTCTGGATTATCCCCTCAACGTGCTTCTTTTGTATTATTAATCTCTAAGATACGATTATAGAATTTCGAGAAAGGAATTCTTCTGGGGTTGAATGTAAAATCCCGTAATTTTGAAAATATTATGATAAATAGTGATAAATGATTTTTTAATATGATTAATACCATTCTGTGATGAATGAGCATGATAGAAATCAATTTGAGATCGATTAAGTATGTATATGAGTATGTACAAGTGAAAACATGCATGTATGCATAGGAATAGTCGGCTAAAATTAGCCTCTGGCTGGTCAACTGATGCGTAGGGATCAGTCGACCAATGACCATTGGCCGGTCAACTAATGCCTAACCATCAGTCGACCGACGGGTGCAAGAACCTGAGTTCTATTTTTGGGTCAGTTTTATTTCAGTTCGGCCCGTTTGTGTACATAACTATATAAACCCGATGTTTCTCCTGTTTTTCATCATCTTCCACGTGAACAATCAGCCACCCTCTCCCCTCAAAACCCTAGAACTTATTTTGGTGAACTTTGAGAGCTTTGAGAAGCGAAAATTAAGAGGATGGCGACATCCGCTGCTTTTGGTGAAGGAGGATCGTTCTCACGCGTGTTTGGAAGTTCTGGATGACTTGTTGAGGCGAGTTTCATCTCCTCCAAACCCATCCCTTGTATTTAAATATTTTTATTTGGTTTATCGATCTTTAAAACCTAGTTTATGTATAAAAATCACTCTTTTCAAACTATATGATATAAAGATTGAATCTGTTTGATTTGAAAAGATATAAAACGAATTCTCAGTTTTGGGTTTAAGATTTGAACTTGGTTCAACAAGAGTTTTTGTTAAAGTTGTTTGTTTTCACGATGGATTTAAACTTATAAACATGTTAGGGTGTTTAGATTTTAATTGAATTTGATATTTGTGATTTTATGTAGTTGAATATACCCTAATATCCCTTAAACAAGTTTTAACACATGAGTTTTACTAAGAATTTTTGATTTTAATGAATTTATGAGAATATCAGACTGTTTTAGAAAACTGTATTTTTTTACTTCTAGTCGGTCGACCGATCAAGGATGATCAGTTGACCGATAAACTGTTAGTAGGATTTGTATTTGCTCTGGTCGGTCGACCGGTCATGGACCACCAGTCGACCGATCAAGGAACTTGTGCATGATTTGTGCAATCCATTAGTCGGCCGATGGCATATGATCGGTCGACAGGTCTGGGCATTTTTGCGAACCTTGTTCTTTTCTCACATGTTTTGACCGCACATACGAAGTACGAGTCGCACATCGATACACGTGCATTGTGTACGAGAGTACACGTATTGGATTTGAGCACGCATGAGCGTTTGGAGATGCGTAACCTATATTTTGAGTTTGTCATGTTAGAAAATAACATATATTGCATTTTATGATATTTTGGATGCTTGAGTGGGTTAGTTAGAATATCGTAATGAGACCGCGGTAGACTACACTTAGGGTGGCTAGTTGTATACTGCAATGAGATCGCAGTAGACTACACTCCGTTGTGCATCATTGTTTTTCAGAATAGGGTGATATGTCTATTTCCATAAGGCGATTGAGTAAGGTTGGTGATGCCACAGGAGTTTGTGAGCAACTTACTCAGCGTTATTATTTTCTGATAGAGAATCACATATATTGCATTCATGCTCCCATGTCAATTACCCTGAGAGTAGGGTATAAGTAAGAGGTTGTCATACACGACATATATTATGCGAGTTTCTTTTACCGGATTATTATACCTGTGACTGCGCCACTACCCGAGGGTAGTGTGAGGTATTTGACATGACTTGTATTGGATGAAGTTTAAAAATTGTATTGCTTTTATTTACCCTTTTATTCATAGGATCTTGGAGTTGGTATTTAGCGATTTACAATTTGAGATACGAGGTATATACATGAGGGTTTTCTTGTTTGGATTATTTTGCTCGACGTACCCATTCTCGTGTTGTGGATTTCTAAATATCATTTTTTTAGTTTAGGATAGATGATTTATATATCTATATGTACTAACTTGTATTTTTCTACACCTACCCCCTCCCCCTAGGGGCGGTGGAGATGTTCTCGCTAGCGCTTTGACGATCGTCGTTTCCCCTCTTTTCAGGCAACGAGTGGGACGTTAGAAGAGCCGTAGATTGATGGAGTATCGACTTAGCTTCCATCATTAGTTATTATTAGTAGTTTATTTTTACTCCACAGTAGTTATGTCTTATTTTCAGTTGGAACATGATTATTATTATTTTAATATCTCTTTCTTTTATCATGTTTATTATATTCTTATCCTTATTTTATCTGCTTTGTATATACACTTGATTATTGTTGATTCCACTAGAGAGAAATTATTGTGGGCTAAAATACCAAATTGGTATTTTTATACGAACCATTTTGCCAGTTTAGCATTTTAAAAAACTCCGGCGACGATAAGGCATTTAATCTCGTGCTTTTTGTCAATAAGTCACTTTTCTCAAAATTCCGGCGAGAAAATTTGTTTTTAACCCCCATATCTCCCAGATTTATTAAATTTTTACCCTCCCTCTCCTCGTCCTCCTCCTCCTCTCTCATTCCTCTCTCCCTCCAGTGCACCATTGTCCTCCTTCTCCTCTCCTCCGTCCCCATCTCCCTCCTCTGGGTCAACCTCGGCCCCCTCATCCCCTCCTCCTCCTCCATTCCCCTCTCCTCCCTCTCCTCCTCCTCCTCCTCTCCCATTCCCCTCTCCCTCCAGTGACTTCGGGGACTAATAATGCTCATGTGTAAGGATATCTGTTGCAAGTCAATTTTAGCAAAAGATAGAAGAATAAGTAGAAGAAGAAGAAGAAGAAGAAGAAGAAGAAGAACTGTCACTAATGAATGTCTACAATTGTACATGACATGTAGTTAAGATTGTCAATGGAAAAAATGGCGAAGTTTTCACGCTCTTGAAGAAGAAGAAGAAGAAGAAGAACTGTCACTAATGAATGTCTACAATTGTACATGACATGTAGTTAAGAAGAAGAAGAAGAAGAAGAAGAACTGTCACTAATGAATGTCTACAATTGTACATGACATGTAGTTAAGACTGTCAATGGAAAAAATGGCGAAGTTTTCACGCTCTTAAGATATACATGCATCAATTGCTAATATGAACATGCATTGATTTGAACATCCATGTGTCTAGATCATCATCCACAGTTAGAAGCATGTGAGTGAAATGCTTACTTGGATTGGTGGTTACAAGTGTGGCTGCTCCTCCAAAATCACAACAGGTTGGCGCCGGATTCTTCTGGTAGTAGCTATTGAACGCGTACGAAGCATGAGCTTGGAGGCTGTTAGGATTATAGCAGCTCCCCGACGTCTGAACGACAGAACAATCTGCCTCTCCATCCACACGACATAATAAAGCGCATCCTGGAGACCGCTCTTCGCCACCACACCAACTCTGTCCTGATCTGAAGGGATTGGAGCCGGTCCCCGGCGTATTGGAGGGAGAGGGGAATGGGCCTGTCCCCGGCGTCACTGGAGGGAGTGGGGAATGAGAGAGGAGGAGGAGGAGAGAGAGGAGAGATGAATGGGAGAGGAGGAGGAGGAGGAGGAGGAGAGGAGTGGGATGAGGGGGCCGAGGTTGACCCATCGGAGGGAGATGGAGACGGAGGAGAGGAGAGGAGGACGATGGTGCGCTGAAGGGAAAGGGAGGAGGAGGAGGAGGAGGAGGAGGAGGAGGAGAGGGAGGGTATAAATTTAATAAAATTGGGAGATAAGGGGGTTAAAAACAAATTTTCTCGTCGGAATTTTGAGAAAAGAGTCTTATTGACAAAAAGGACGAGATTAAATGCCTTATCGTCGCCGGAGTTTTTAACAATACCAAACTGGCAAAATGGTTCGTATAAAAATACCAATTTGATATTTTAGCCAATTACTGTGATAGTAAAACGTATCTTTGCACATTACAGATTTGATATCTTCAGATTCACCTTGTCCCCTCATGAGAAATCAGGGCCGTCACAAGAATGCAGCAGATCACGTATACGAATGGTAAAAACAGTGAAAAAAACACATTCAGCAAAGGCAATAATCTCCACCAGATCACCAGGTATCGACTGGAGCGCACGCCTACCTCCACACTCCCAATCCTCTTCTTCCTCAACAAACAACCAATAAACAATTCATCCCCCTAAAAAAATTAAAATTAAAAACCCAACGAAAATGTCAACAATCTCCACTTCCTCCTTCCTCCTACTCCCCAATTTCCAATTCCCATCATCACCAACCAAAACCAAACTCCACAATGTTTCCCTCTCAACAAAACCCGTCACCAATTCAACAACCCCTCTTCTCTTCAAACCCCAAAAGAGACCCAGACCCATCATGGTCCATTGCACCCCAACCTCGGACTCCGACCTCGACTGCGTCGGCACCGGAACCGACGTTGAATGCCTTGTCTCCGAAGACCCAAACTCACTCCTTCAACCCTCGAGCTTCGATATCGAATCGAAAGCTAAACAAGAAGAAAAAGATGGGGTGAGCAAGATCTTGGAGTGGCTTCTTTTGGTGTCCCCCTTCTTCTTTTGGGGGACGGCCATGGTGGCAATGAAGGGGGTGATACCGAAGACAGGCCCGTTCTTCGTGGCTTCGTTCCGGCTAATTCCGGCGGGGGCTTTGCTTGTTGGGTTTGCGGCGGCTAAGGGAAGGCCACAGCCTGCTGGATTTCTTGCTTGGGTTTCAATCGGAATGTTTGCTCTTGTGGATGCTGCCTGCTTTCAGGTGGGCAGGAGGTAAATTGAATTGAACTGGATTTAGTTTGATTGGAGTTTGTTTGGTTGTTTGATTGATTTGTCGGGTAATTGATGGAATTGGGTTTTGACTGATTTCAGGGGTTTCTTGCTGAGGGGCTGCAGAAGACATCGGCGGGATTGGGAAGTGTATGTGCCAATTTTCTGATCCTATAGATTTATGGCAGTAATGTGTTGGGTTTAGACATCAGTTGTTTATTGCATTATTTTGAATTCTTAGAGTTCTACGTTTTGCGCACCTTATATCTTGACGTAGATTCTCATAGAGATGAAAAATCTAGTCATTTCAACTAGGAGTGTGAAGTGAGGCATTAGCTCGTCTCGATTATAACTTAGTCTAAGTGGAGAGTGATCGCCTGCAGAGAAGAAGAGAAAGAACGACAGATTTCTTTGAGGGGACTCCAGTAACAGGTAGAGGGTTTGATTCGTTTTTGTTGTATTTTCTCAAGGAGAACACTCCTCCTTTTATAGGGGCCAAACCCATCATCTTCACCTCCTCATAACTGCCCCTGAGAGATTTTCTCTCAACAACCCATTTTCCACGTTTTCCACGTTTTTCACAACTAAGAACGTTGATTTGGTCACACAAGACCGAGTCAAGATAACATCTCTCACTTGACCAAATTAACCAAGTGATATGCCTCTCACTATCCGTGAGATCAGATGTTTCTTCTTACCATTACTCCCACTATTCATAGAGAATAACTCTTATTTCATTATTCATAAAATTTTACTTAGACTTACTTATTCCTAAGTTCCATCAAACTTACATGTTTGATAAAAGATTCTGCTAGTTTTCCTTTTGTCAAAGGATCAACAATCATATATGTAGTAGGGACTTCTTCCTTTTCTACACTATCTTGAATATAGTGATACTGGATCTCAATGTGTTTTCCTTTAGAGCTATTCGCGCCACTCTTGATTAAGGTGATTGCTGCTTGATTATCACAATAAATATCAATAGGTCATTCTAACAAATTAAGATCTAGATCAATCAAAAATCGTCTTATCCAGATAACATGTGTAGTTACCATACTGCAAGCTATATATTCAGTATTTTTCGTATATCTAGCAACACCCTTATTTCTTACCACTCCAAGAAACAACTCTTCCAAAGATGAATAAGTGTCCCTAAGTGGGCTTTCCATCATCTTTATCACCTCCAAAATCAGCATCGGAGTAACCGAGGAGATCAAGTGAATCGGCTTGATAAACTAATGTATGAGTCAATGTACTTCTGATATACTTCATAATCCTTTTAACAGCTTCCCAATGTGCTGGTCCTGGATTACTTTGATATTGACTGACTAGACTTACAACATAAGCTATATCAGGTCTGGTGCATAACATTGCATACATCAAGCTTCCAATTGCTTGAGCATAAGGAACATCTAATGGCTTATACCCCTCTTCAGGACTTTGTTCTTTACATAATCTCTTTCCCATGACCAACGGAGTTGGTGTCGGATTGAAATTCTTCATTTCAAACCTTTTAAGAATTGATCTTAAATATTTTTCTTGGTTTAAACTTAGCATTCTAGACTTTCTATCTTGAATTATTTGAATTCCAATAATATTTGATGCATCTCCGATGTCTTTCATCTCAAACTCTTCACTGAGATCTGCCTTGATTTTATTCAACATTTCTATGTCATTTCCAGCTAGCGATATATAATCCATATATAATGATAATATAATAAAATTGCTCCCACTTTTCAACACATATACACAATTATCCAATTTATTTTAAATAAAATTAAGTTTAGTTATTGCATCATGAAATTTGAGATACCATTGTTTAGAAAACTGTTTTAAAATGTATAGAGATTTCATTAATTTATAATCTTTATGTTCTTGTTCTTTCATCTGAAAACCTTCAGGCTGTTACATATATATCGCTTCCTTCAATTCTTCGTTACGGAATGCAGTTTTAACATCCATTTAGAATAACTCTAAATTAAGATATGCAACAATAGCCAAAATAATTCTAATGGATACAAATTTAGCTACAGGAGAATACATCTCTTAAAAATCTATTCATGCCTTCTGGTTGTAACCCTTAGCAACTAATTATGCTTTGAATTTATCAATAGATCCATCAACACGATATTTCTTTTTAAGCACTCATTTGCATCCTATAGCTTTTTTATTTTTCGGTAGATCACATATCTCCCATACCTTATTCTTTTCTATAGAATCAAGTTCTTCTCTCATGGATTCTAGTCATAAAACTAATTCATGCGATTTTATCGCATCAGAGAAGATTAAGGGATATTGTTCTTCTATATTTGTATCTAGCGAAAAACAAAATGACTCACATGAATACAAATAGTAATCATCCATCCATGAAGGTTGTGTTCTTGACCTTTTGTTGCCTACAACCGGTTGATGAGGTACATTATTTTTTACAGGTATTTCATCATTTTTAAGGTTAGGTTCATTCACAATATCAAGGTCATTAGTGGAAACAACACCGTAATAATCATCTGTTACAGCTAGATGTTCTGTTTTCTCTTAAACTTGTTCCTCTTCCTCTAGGTTCTCTAGATATGTAGCATATCTGCTTTCAATGATCCCTTTTTCTTTATTGTAGAACTTAAGAACACTTTGCTGTTTTAAAATTTAACTTATCTCTAAGTTGATATGGAATGAGAACATAGGCTATAGATCCCCACTTCCTGAGATGACTCAGATTAAGTTCCCTCCCATTCCATAACTCATAAGGTGTAGATATAACTGATTTGATGAAAATTCTATTTAGAATATAGTTTACAATTAAAAATACTTCTTCCTAAAAGTTTTTGGAGAGACCACAATGAGACAATATGCATCTAACTACATTCAGTAATGTTTTGTTCTTTCTTTCAGTAACACCATTTTGTTGTGACGTATGCGGCATTATTGTATGCCTTTTAATTCCATACTGAATACAATAACTATTAAATTTTTTAGAGTTATATTCCCCACCTCTATCAGTTTTTAAAATTTTAATTTTCATTTCAAGTTGGTTTTTAACTTTTGTCTTATATCTCTTAAAACAGTCAAGAGCTTCTAATTTTCTAGATATAAGATAGACATGTGCAAATTTGAAATAATCATCTATAAAAGTAATAAAATATTCTTTATTAGTATGAGTTTTGACACTTAGGGTATCATAAATATTCGAGTGTATCAACCCTAAAAGTTCATTGGCTCTTTGTCCGTAAAAAAAATATGTTTTAGTCATTTCCTCAGTTAAACAATGTTCACATGGTGACAATTGAACATTAGATAGTACAGGAAGTAAGTTCATTCTGATAAGTTTTTTTATTTTTAAAATATTAGCATGTCCTAATCTAGAATGTCACAATTCGGACTCAGAAATATAACAAGATAAGTAGTTCAAATTCAAAAATTTATTATTAGAATTATTACAAACTACTGGAAGAATGCATAATTCATGCTCGGGCACATATTTTGCCATAACATGCATTTTATTATTTTTTCCTATAGAAACCCGGTTATTGTAGAACTTAATTTTTAGTCCTTTCTTCATCAAGCTGGTAATAAAGATCAGATTGCGTCGAATTCCTGGTGCATAGAACACATCTTTGAGAACAAGAATACTATCCCTAAGATCCAATCTATACGGACCAATACCTTTTACATCGAGATATGTATTATTTCCCATATAGATTCTCTGTTCTCCTTTCTTCAGCTCGGTGAATTCTATGACTCCATTCTTCTCCTTTGCGATATGTCTGATCGCACCGGAGTCGATCCACCAACCGTTGATATTCGTCATCACAGCATTGTATTTCGTCACACCGACGAATTCTCTTTTGCTAGTTCCCTCTTGTTCTGAATGCTTATAGCCTCCCTCATTCTCCTGCCTTTCACCTTACGGGCAAGTAGTCTTGAAATGCCCGAACTTTTCACAATTGTAGCAGGCTCCACGAGGTACTTTCTTTCTCTTGAACTGTTGCGATTTCGGTCATCGTGGTTATGGTTTACTAGAACCAGAGTTTTTATAGCTTCCAGTATTATATCTCCGGCAAACATAATTCAGCTCTTGCTGCATCATATTCAGTTTTGGTTATTTCCTACTGGCTATTAAGTCATGTTCTATCGCTAGGTGCATAGGAAGATCAGTGACAAATTTAACGGTATGGTTCATTCTTAATTTAGTGGCAACCATAGTAAGGGAATAAGGGTGACTATTCAAAATGGTTTCCACTTGCATTCTTTTTGGGATTTCGGTCCCAGCAGTGAATTAGTCCTTAGCCATAACAATCATCTTATTTATATGTTCTACGATATTGTCTCCCTCTTGCATACGACAAGAATTATACTTATGCAAGAGGAGTTGAATGTTAACTTTAGAAGCGGTATCGTATTTTTCTTTTATAGCATTCCACATGTCTATGGAAGTCTTATAAGTTTCAAAAATTTGATTAAGTTATCTTCCATGAACATGAGCATTAGGCTTTTTGCTTTTTATCTTTCGACTTCCACTGTTCAAACCCTTTTTTTTCTTCAGGTATAGATTTATCAGTAAGGGTTGGAGCAGTGATTTCAATTACATCATCAATATTGTCATGAATAAGAGCATATCCTATTTTTCTATGCCACATATCATAATTACTGCCATTAAATTTGTCAATTTTTTCTAGTTCTGATAGAACGAATTTACTAGCCATTTGGAAGAGAACTAAAACTGAAATCCAATTTTTAAATATGTATAAGGTTGGTATAAAGACAGTTATACTAAAATAAAATAAAGTTAGATAAAAAATAAATTAAAATGAACCTGACTGTTCCGAGTTGATGAAAGAGGCTCCAATTTAAGCGAGATTGTCACTTGGTGGTGTTGACCAAAGAATCACTTGTCGAAGTTTTGTCGCCGTGAGGGTTAGTCACCTTCCCCAGATGCAGCGGTAATGGGACCCGCCGGCCTTAACCTTAGCCTTGTAGATGTAGGCCAGACTCTTGTTGATATAGGCCAGGCTGGATGTGCTTATCAGCTATGAACAAGCTATGAACTGTAGGCCGGCGGATCTATGAATAGGCTATGAACAGTAGGCCGGCGGATTTGTGAGTAGGAGTAGGTCAGGCTAGGTCAGGCTATGAGGCTATGAACATGTAGGCTA